TGGTTTGTATCTCGTTGATTTGTTGATCGAATTGGTAACTCACTTGATTGATTTATTTAATTTCCGACTAATTAAAATTTTACGTCCGATCCATTGAGTGAGGTGCTTGAGAACGGCCTAAGACAGAATCCCAACATTCAAATCCCGAATGATCAAAATCTCTAATTTGATACACATTTTAGGGATTCTGAATATCGGGATTTGAAATTGTCGAGATTCTGTCTTAGTCGAGATTTTGACTTGTCAGTATTCTGTCTTAATTGGAACTACGTATGTTGGGATTACGTACTGTCGAGATTTTGGATTTCGGGATTTCGGAGTAGAACTGAAGATGATAACTTCCCGTTGATTAATTCAAAAATGTAATTTAAAGAATTACTTTATTCATATTACAATAAAATTTCTATTGGTAATACAAAGAAAATAGATTTTCAACATTAACTGAATACAAAATTTAATATATATATAAACAGTAAAGAACCATTTCTTTCAATATATATAATCAGTGACAATTTACTCCTATATCTTCCTCTTCACTATTTGAAACAGTTTGTTTACCGAAAAAGAAGAAACCAATTCCTGCACCAATAACTACGCTGATCATAAGAAACCCATTGTATGTCATGAATATTAACATAATAAAGAAAGATATGAACGCTTGAATGGCGTAGATAAATGAACGAATTAATTGTTGTGATCGTTTCAATCTGTAAAGAAATAAAATAAGATTATTTTAAGTGTAAATGACATTAAAAGAAAAATATGAAGATAAATTTACTTGACAACACGATTCACAGGAGCGGGTGGATTCTCTTCTTCATCATTACTAATCTGACGATAGCATGACTCGTATATCTTTTCATCATATTTTCTTGACAAGTATTTTAGTAACTCATAAACAACTCCAATTAATGCAACAAAGAAACAAGAGAGAATCAAGAGTGGAATTCCGTTTACTTTCCACCAAGAAAATATAATACAAAGATTCGTAGTATCCCAGTTGAAAAGCATCTAATTCAATAAATTTTATTTCGATCAAATACTATAATTGTTATAATAATTTTTGCATAAATTCAAATAAAATAATCTTACTTTCATCGAACATCTAAAATTATTATTTCCATTGCCATGATCTCCGTGATCCATTTTTAATAATTATGGCCTTTTCGCAAACAATTTGAACGAGTTTTAATAATGTACTCTTTATGAAAGTTATTTCAAGAAAAGTACAAGAGCAAACTATGGATTAAAATTTTTTTATACTTACATGAAACTTTGTGTTGTGAAACATCACTTTGCTTAGTTTTAGCCACAAATAGTCACGGGTCAGAGACTAATGTTTGTAGTCGATCCCTATTTATCGACTTGACTAAGTCGATATTTAAAATTGGATAAGTCAAAGCCGATTAATATTTTTTTTACCTTCGGAATTTATCGGAGATTTCATCAATTTTTGCTTATGTTCTATTTTTCATCGGAATTTTCCGGCTCCTACTTTTAGTACTATGTACCAAGAGAGGTAATATGATTGGTACTTTAATATAATCTAACATAAAATCGACTAAGTCGATTTTTTGGAAATCGGCTGACTAAATCGGCTAAGTCGACAAAAATCGACTATGCGAAATCGACTACAAACACTATCAGAGACTAAATGAGTGCCATACCGCCATTTTCATGTCACGTTCTTCATTATCTTACGGCCTTACCGTTACGGGATTTAGTTTCGTTTCCCAATAATACTATCGTGATTGCATAAGAGTGTGACAAGTTTCATGTGGCGGCGCCTATCGGTTTTTTTTTTGTTACATATTATATAATAAACTATATTTCGTATATTGGGGGGTTTTTTTTTTTTCTTTCTTTCATTTTTTTAGAAAAATTAATTATGCAAAGGCCAAAATCGTATCTTTATTTTTGGACGTAGAGACCGAAAATAGATACATTATTAGACGTCCGCAGGATGCAGGGATAATATATAGTAATTAACGACAAAAATCCCACGTGCACGTGGCCGTACTACCAACGAATCACAGTTACCAACAGTGGTGAAATTATTTCATCAAATTTCAAATTTCAAGCACCCAGATTATCGTTATGCTATAATGTGTAACAGGTTGATATGCCACAGTGGCTTGTTTTTTTTCGACTCTATGTGTGTTCATGTGAATTTAATTTGCAATCAATTTAATCAGGTCACTTTGATACAAGGCTTTAGCGCATCTCAAACCGAAATAGCAAAATAGATTAGATACACCATGAATTAAACTGCAGGTCTGCAGGTGCGAACCACGAAATCTTTATTAATCAAACGCGGTTTCTTTTAAATACCGTAAACGGCTATAGTAAAAAATCTGGTGTACATGTTATTTGAAAAATCTGCCGATGATTATCAAATACGAATTTAGAAAAACTCTACCATTAATTTAATCGAATATTGACACACAAAAATCTTAAATTAGATTGATAAGACTCGTGATACAAATATCGATATCTTTAACGCCGAAACGCGTAAAAGAATATAAGCTTTGCTTATTGGGAATGATTTAATTCCGAATAGATAGAAGTTTGAAAACAATAATTAGAATTTATATTATAGTCTTAATAACAATCGAAAAATTGAAATGAATGTATACAGATTATTCAAAATGTATTTAAACTTCGACTTTTTACCTTTAGAAATATTCGTGATTTTTACTAAATTTTTACCAGTTCTACTGATAAAAACTTCCGATTTTAACTTTCAAAATTCACAACCCAAAAGTTATTAGTAACCTTTTAACTTTTGACATATGTTTGAAACATACCTGATAATAATTTCAATTGTAATACTTATACCACTATATATCTCAATCGTGATTATTAACAACTTCGTTAGCATATGAAAACTAGGAACATATATTGATATCATATTTTACTGTATTAAATATTATAACTATCGCATATTATTAATAAATAACCCGTTTATAAAAGAAAAACCATATTGACAAAATAATACCAAGTAAATTAACTAATCATCTAAAAGTTAATTAGTATACTTAACTGTAACCACTACTAGACTAAAGTCGTAACTACCAACAGAAGTGAATTAGCACGCACTTACTGCGTAAAGAATCTAAGAATAGCTACCTTAGAAGACATACTATATTGCAACCAAAAGTATTAACAATTATATGATAGCAATCAAGCATATAACAATTGGAAGACAATAAATAAATATAATCTCTAACCTTATGATTTTGAGAACAATTCAACTGATAACATTCATAATATTAATAATTTTAGTCTCAGAACAAATAAACAGAACAAAGACAACAATACTAGCAGACATAATTGTAATAAGCATACCAGCTACTTCTATACCAACAAGCTCCACAACAACAAGTACAACAACAGATAAGAATATGCCCACAGAAAATAATTAAAGCAAAACAATGATAACAATCATTACTGCAATACAAAGTTCTGACAACAATGCCATTAACTTACCATTATTAGCAGAAATATTGGGAATACTAGCAACAATATTGACAACAATAATATCAATACTTATATTTTGTATTAAAAGAATAACAACAAAATACAAATGCCAACAAAAGATAATTAAAGGAAAAGACTTGTACAATCACCAAAGACAACAATTCAGACTGCCACATTACGATAATATAAACAACATAGATCCATTTGATATTGAACAATTAAACAGCTCACAATACTATCAAAGACAATATAGAACAAAGTAAATGCAAAAACAAACAATAGCCAAAGCAGCCTTAATATTAACAGGAACAATAATAACAACAGTATTAACAATAGCCTTATTATTATTACCATAATATGTACAAAACATAATAGCCATATCAATACTTGGAACAACTGCAATAATCGAAATACTCATAGTAATCTATACCACATTACACCATATGACAACAACATTATCAATAATACCAATACCAACAATTAAAGACTCTAACAATAACATAGACCCTGTAACAAACCCTATAGCATTCAGACTACTGCTGACACTAATAATATCTATACTGTTATATGTAATAACAATCCTAATTATTTGCTATATACTACAATGATACAAGAAAAAACTATATAAGAACTACCCAAACCTATCCTATGACCAACAATATAATCAATCAAGTTGCTATTAAATGCAAAACATAAAACAACAAACAACAAGTGATCAAGATCAGAACCTAACAACTATAATCTTCATAATATTAATATTTACTGGAATAGCTGCTATAATATTAGCAATAGTAAACAAGTGCATAGTAAAGAAAAGAAGAAAAAGAAACAACAAAAGAAATAATAGAATACCAAAACCTCACAAAGTACCAAACAAACTATTACTACACAGACCAGGACTACCAACAAATGAATTAAGAAATATCACATTACTAAATATAGACCCAGATAAGGAAAGACAAATTACAGAATACTTAACAAGACAAAATCACGCACTATGATTATTTGGAGACAGTATCAGACCTAATAGATGATCATACTACTGATACTAGCATACCTAGTAATACCTGGACAAGCCCAACAATTTTTAACAATCACAATACTAACTATAACACAAACAGTAACAGTAACACAGACCAAAATAACTACTATATACCAAACATCGATATCAACATTAACAATAACACCAACATACTTCCAAGACCAAAATATAATAACACAAAACATAGCAACTGAAGTAGGAATAGTAGTAATAATATTAATAATAATATATATTAAACAAAGATATAATTGAGAAAATAAAAAAAACAACTAGATTTTATAAATACAAAAAAAGACCAAGTTTTCACTGACCTAACAACAATAGTTACACCATCAATGAATTAATGTCAAGATCGCTACAGGAAATAGCAGAAGACCTAGAAAAATGAATCAAAGAACAACAAAAAGAATTAGAATATAAACCTCTAAGAAAAAACAAAGAGACTGAATATAATAAAATCAAAATGATTGTTGATAATAAAAAACCAATGACTAATGAATTAGTAATAGCGTTCATAATACTATTAATCCGAAAAAGAAATAACAAATCATATACACAAGAAATTGCAGAATCATACAAATTTAACTACCAAGCTATATTAGAACAGACTAAAAAGAAATACAAAATACAACTAGTAAATGAACCAACCCAGGCTGATTAGACTAACAGATAGATAACTAGAATTATGGCTAATTCAATACCCAAAAAGACTATATATAGACAAACAAATATTGTGGCTAAGAAATAAATTCAAAAGAATATTTGAACTAGATGTACAAGCATACCTCTTAGTATTAACAACCTTTGAAATAATAGCAATAAGAAAAATAGTACAAAATTTAAAAACACTAAAAACTACATATAAGAAGAAAGTACAAAAGAAACAAGCAGTATCCCAAAAAGATTACTTTCCAAAACTAAGAGATATATTAACATACCTACAACTAGGACATATATCAAAAGACAAAAACCTAATAAGTAAAGAATTGCAATTAGCAAACTTAACTCAAGAAGACTATAACCAATTCAGCTTTAATGCACAAATTAAACCACACTTTATCAAAGAAATATAATAGCTATAATTACATTTTCAAACTTAGAAAAGATCAACTTCCTAACAATAATAGGAGGAATGAAGTTCAACGGAAAAAATTAGATTCAATTTAGAAACCAATTCTTACATGCTATCAAAATACATATATCAAAAGAATTACTGACTTTAGGATACTTTTTTTTTTTTTTTTTTTAATATTAAAGGTGACCACTTAGGCCATTGGCATGAGCTTTATTTCGGATAGTTACGAT